TAAGATAACGTGTTATTCGAAATAATATTTCAAATAATATCAATGCAAAACTCCCCAGGTTTGATTCAGATTTAAATGCAAGACGAATGCTCTTAACGTACTCTTCATATTCTCGGTTGAAGAGAATCGCAGAGGCGCAGATTATTTGGCCTAACGCGAGAAGTCTCTGCCGCTAGCTTTTTCTTCCAGCGAGTGGATCTTTAAACAGGAAAATAGATGATACGCTCCTGGTTGGTCGTGTATTCTCAAAGCGCTTTTATGGATTGACATGTGTTCAATACAGCGACGTAGGAACGTTTATTTTTTAATGAAAGCGAAGCATCGACGATTAAATGAAATTCTCGCGTAGATTAACGGATTACATTAAGTTGATTCCTAAATAAGTTCTGTTTTCTAACTTACAATTTATTTCCAAATATATCATTACGTGGTAAATTTCAATTATACAATCATCGTCGTTGATTATCACTTGTTCCCATTTTACAGGCAAATTAAAAATTGCTACTTGCATGTGACTCACCGAAAGCATGATTATTTGTTACCCGCAGCGAAAGTTACTAACAATTCTATGCCTTTATGTTCAATCATTTATAACTCTAGTTTAAGTAAAAATATTTCATTGTCATTTTGTTATTATATGTTAAAGTATCAACAACGAATCTATGCACATACTATACATATAATCCAAGTCCTAACCTGATGACCATTACAACGTATGTATTACACATATGTATACATATGTATATAAAAGATGGTAGCCATCAATTCAGCTTATTATTATTATATTATTCTGATAAATTACAAGTGTGATTGATAATTACAGAAGAATGACAATAAGCAAAATTATATGGCTATTAAAATTTGTATAGATGCATTACGAGAACCATCAGGTTGAGACTCACAAGCAGACCTATATAGAGTCATTGTAGAAATTGATACATGGAGAAAGTTGGACCTTAGAAGGTTAGTGCTTTGTAACAAAATGACAAATAAATATTCTCAGTTATACTACAGTTACAAATGATTTTATACAAAGGCACGGAATTAATGTCTACATCTAATAACCTTAGAAGATATACAAGAAATATAATGTTAATTATAAAATGTCTTTTGTAATTATGTCCAAGACGTATTAGCACAGTTATGAAATTCGATTTAACGCAAACACTGTTTAATTACCTGCGAAAAATTGTGGAAAATGTGCTGGTTGAAATACAGTGTAACGTGTAACGGTGAAAAACAATGTTAATTGTTGAAGTATAGTAAAAGAAATCAAATGATTCTTCGCGATCTGTTCCTACGTTGCCAAAAAAATCTACGAGAAAAGCGAGGTCAAGGATCGCCAGAACAGTATGGAAATTAATCGTTATAACCTTCCACTTAAATAGTTTAAGCTATACGGAGACAATGTGCGTGTGTGCCAAAACGAAGCAGAAAATTATTGTTTTATTGTGTATAGCGTCAACTTTTCTTTCGACAATCAATGAATCGATGTGTGGTTGTGAGTTGCGTTATGTGTATGTTTTTGAGTGCGTGAAAAACACCCCGAGGATGTAACCATACCGATTCATCGCTCAGAATGCTTTGCGAATGATGTATCGCGAAGAAGAAAAAAAGAAAACTACACGCGAGCGCAACAAAAACAAAATGTCTCTAGTATTTTTAAAGTGCGAGGTGGGTAAATATGCCGAATAGGGGACCGCGCCCCTGTGACCTTGACATTAACATATGTTGTCAAGGGCACCCTCCTGAGTAACTTTTTCTAATAACTTAACCGTCGCTCACTGCTTATTAAAAAGTTATTAACAAAAAAAGTTGGTGAGTTAGGTCGGGTTATACATACGAACACGCTATATGTAGCATGTAAAAACACATTACAACGGTTCAAACTTGTTCCGAGAGTTTGTATCATGCACGATCTTTACTCGAACAGTAAAAAAATGTGGGCCCGGGGGCCTGCCCCCGGTCAGGGGTTTGGGGGCGAAGCCCTCATCAACGAGTACTGCAGCGCACCATGCAGGTGTGTACACGATTAGCCTGAGGGGTGTTTATAAAGTTTGTTTAGTTTGTTTAGTTTCGCGGGGGTCGAGAGGGCGGAACCCCCGGGTCCGGCAGGGGGTCTGGGGTGCACGGCCCCTCCAGCAAGCATACGATATCAAGGCGTATGCTTTTATCGAGCGTATGCTGAGAAACCTTTTACAAACTTTAAGAAACGTACGTCTAAAAACTATACGCTCGCTGGGGGGCTGGGCCCCTCAGAACCCCTGCCGGGCCCGGGGAGCTCCACCTTCTCGACCTCTGGAAAACTATAAACACCCCTCAGGCTAACCGTGTAGTACACACCTGCGTGGTGCGTTGCAGTACTCGTTGATGAGGGCTTCGCCTTTAAACTTCCGACCAAGGACAGGCCCCCGGACCCCCATTTTTTTACTGCACGAGTAAAGATCGTGGTATAGGTCATACATATGTATAGGAAAAAGATAAAGTTTAACTGGAAAAGTGCCGTTTGTAACCAAAATAGTTACCAACTTTTTTTATTAATAACTTTTTAATAAGCAGTGAGTGACGGTTAAGGTATTAGAAAAAGTTACTCAGGAGGGTGCTCTTGACAACGTATGTCAAGGTTAGGGTCATAGGGGCGCGGTCCCCTATTCGGCATTTTTACCGCGAGGTGATTAATTTCCACGCTTTTTCTCCTCTCCCTTGCGTCTTCCTCTAGAAATAGAGAATTTATGGCGAACAATGTAAAGAAAGAACAAAGTTTTCTTATAATTTATGTACAAATATAGGATATTTTTCTTTCTGTTTTTTTTTTTTCATGTAGATATAGTTGTTGCGCATACTTTTTGCTACTACTTAAGATTTCCGTAGTCATATTAGGGTCTGTTCATTTCCTCTGAATTCAACATTTTAAAGTTCACTGTACAGTACAGGTGTAGGTATTTATTTAGAAAGCAATTAACGACGTCGCGTAAAAAGGATCGCGGTAACGCATAGAGCGCAATATGTGCGTCGTTCGTTGCGTTTAAATGTAAGATGCAATTATGTTATTTGAGAGGATTATTCCTAATTGAGCAACTCGACCCCAACTGGAAATAAGTATTCACAAGGCGTAAGTAAAAAGATTTCGTCGCCAGAAATCGTAATAATAATCTCAACAACAAGATATTGTATCATACTGACGACGTTACAAGATGTTAATGGATGAGATACTAAAATTTATGTTTCTATATTGTAATAACATTTATGTATAATGGTTATTATAATGCAAAAAATATACATGCTAGTTGTCTGTGTTCGCATTCTCATTTCGTTGTGTTCAACGCAACTTCCTGATGCAAACTGTGTTTGTATACAGTCAGTCCCATACGTGCATATTTATAATGATAATTTATTTGGTAACACCAAACCTATCATTCAATTTAAATAAATTTTTTTAATAGACATAGAAAGTACGAATAGTTATAGGACTGACTGTACATACTGTGCATTACTGGTAAGTTGGCCTCCCTTGTTAGGACCAATCGGCGCGCGTTCTTTCCAACTATCAACATACCAGTAACACGCACTGTTTAGTAATAAAGTAAAATTGTAATAGAAATTTTTCTATTACAGATCAATTAGATCTTCTTTCGGTATGTAGGACGGAAGGTTATTCAAACAACATTTGTGCGACGTTGATTGTCTGTTTATTGAAATTGCCAGTTATACCATACAATTGACATCTAGCTGAAGACTGAATATCGTTGTAAATTTCCTCGAGCCACCGGTTATTCCTTGCGCCCTTAGCGCGCCTTATTAGGAAAGGATGTGCTAAGGTAAGGGAGTACCACCAATGCAACAAACTCTGTTTGTGTTTCTTTCTGAAACTTAATCTATCTGTCACTCTCTTCCTTTCCCTCTTTTATTCATACTTCCACTCAATACTTCACTTTACTCATACCATACTCCCTTTCCATTCGCTACAATTTTTTCCCTTCCCACCCCCACGATACGAAGTCCATAGGTCCCCAAGACATAACCCTATTTTTATTTTTCTCCACCCTTTCCACCTCTTCTGTCTTCTTTCTGCTTCTCCCTTTTTCTCTTATTATACAAAATCTTTATGCTTGCTCTTGTCTTACGTCTTTCTCCTATCACACTTTTTTCATTCTTATTTTCAGCACTCTTTCCATATTATCCCTAATTTTCTATTTCACATCCAATTTCCATTGTACGCCTCTCAGTCATGCTCCCCCATAACTAACCTACACCTTTTTCCCCCAAAACTTGACATGAATAGTTTCTTATTTGTCGTTGTTTAGCAATGTTTAAAGCTTCCTTGTTTTCCTTTCCTTCTCAGTTTCTCGGCAACCTATTGTCTTTTATTGATCAGGGGATTACACAAATATATACATAGAAAGAATTTACCTTCCATTTCCACTGTAATAGGTGTATATTCAAAATCAAGCGAATCAAATGGTCAGCAGTCACAGTTCTCATCTTCCTTTCCGATCTCATATCTGTGAGCTGTCGTCGCAATAGTTGAGCTGTATTTGGTGATTCAACAAAATAATATTTAAAACATAAGTTCATTAGTTTCTAACAGAAAATGCAAATTTTTTTTTTTAAATAGAATATGAAACCCAACATAATAGAACACAAATAACTTGGATGATGTAGAGGAGCGCTATCCAGTATAGGTGTAGCTCACGTCTTCACGTGCCTTCTTCTAATATAGTTCAGTCTTCTGCAGTCTTCTGAATCAGTGCTTCTTCGACTTCAACCTGCAAGAGAACTGCGCCGTCATAAAACGCGCATCTTCTGGAGGCCCCCATGACAGGCTACCTGTAGCAGCTAGCAGATACACGCTTTTAAATTTTATTTATTAGTAAGTATAACATTAGCTTAAAAATCTAATATAATTAAAACTCCAATTTCAGATGTTTTATAATTTAATTTGATAATAATACATTTTATGTTTTGATTCTTTAAACACAATTTTTCATAAATTTCAATAATTGTGTAATAAAGGATTAATATATTCTTTATAATTTACAAATTCTTCAAAGTAGATATACAATTAATTAAAATATAAATTTTCTAATACAATTTGTTACGTTTAATACTTGTGTGAACATCAAATGCTACTGTTGTTTTGTTGTTAATGTTAGATACACAATTTGCCTGCTTGAAGAACATTGTTTATCGTTTCCGATACAGCCTTACTGAGGATATTGACGACCATCCTTTTTGTGGGTAGATATTCGAGACGTAGTGGGACACCACTGGTCACTACTGGTGGCTCTCCCCTACATTCTTGTTAGGCCTCTCTCAACGTTTCTTTTCACCGTGTGCTTTGTACGTTTCGTGTAACTTTATAATAAACTATCGGTTAAGTATTCGTGCGATTGCTGAAACTGTAGAAATTGACGAAGAAGGCGTACGGCAAATTTTACATAACAATTTTAACATGAAAAAAGTGTGTGCCAAAATGGCAATTTCATCAAAGAATTAGGGTTCAAGAAGATGAGGGAGAAAACCCCATTCATCATGCCAGGTCGAAGCATATCGACATCAAGCACCATTTTATACGACACGTCTTGCAAAAATATTCACTAAATCTCGAATATCTATCCACAGAAAGGATGATCGTCGATATCCTCACTAAGGCTACATCAGAAACGAAGAACGTCGAATGCATTAAAAGCCTTGGAGTCATTCCGAGCTCTAATTGAGAGGAGATGTTAGACATATTGGGTTGGCCCATAAGTCATGGCGTTTTTTTCCGATTTAAAATTTCGAGTTAAAAATAAAATATTTTTGTGTAATGATATATGTCATTTTAAAGAAAATTATTTGCTCTGCAAGATATTGTATTTCACTTTTTTGTTCGAATTAATTTTTGTTAAGTTGCGGATCATTAAAATGGAGTGTCAAATCGACAAAAATGAAATTTTCGACAACTTCTTTTTGCGTTTAATCGATGGATCAAAGCCACTGGTCTCTACTAGTGGCAGCTCTCCCCTATGTTCTTGTTGGGCCTCTCTCAACGTTTCTTTTTACCGCATGCTTTTTACGTTTTGTATCCTTAGTATAACTTTATAATAAACTGTCTTTATAATATTCCGACTCTGTTTCATCATTTGATCAATTCCCCTAACTGTTAAAATGTAACGAAAAATTCGTGTTTGAACAATAACTTTAATGTAAATAAAATTCATACCTTAATATCTCCAGTAGAGTCAAAATAATCTGTATGTCTAATAAAACAAATATGACACTAACGTGTAAAGTCAGCATCCGTAAGTGCTCATCCCGTGACGCTTATTTTATAATACATATGTATGTGTACATGTTCCAAGCGTGATGTATATTTATAGTTCTTTGACATAGAATTTAAATCGATGATAACACCGAAGTAAATTATTTCGATAATCAATATATATTAATGAATGTACATAATACATTATGAATTTTTCGAAACATTAACTACTATACTGGTTACACTATTATGACTTATTATACGAAATTATATAACACAATATTTCAAAACATTCTTTTCCCATACTTCCTTAAAGACATCATATGATGCCCTTAATGGGTGTGCAGCCTAATATCTTTAATGATAAGAAAAAGAAATATAAAAATTAGAGAGAATTAATTCTCAACTTTAAAGTTTATAATATGATAATTATAATATTATTATTATACAGGATGTACAATTGAGGATAAAGTGATTCTTCGTGCAAAAGCAAATTGAAAATATAGAATCAAATTTTTTGGTATGAATTTCCATTATAGAGAAGAAACAGCTTTAAACATCTATTGGATATGCATGCATACATATACCTGGCTTAATTGTAAGTCTCCAGCAAAATTTTGTATGCAACACTGTGACATCATGTACAACAAATAGAATTTATATTATAAGTGGAAGATCTTCCATTCATCCATAAAAATCTTCTTAATCAAATACACTTTATACTAAAATTACAAAGACAATATTGAAAATTTATCGGATATGCATGCACTTATTCAGTTGTAAATCTATATAATGGATTTTAGTATAAGCTATATTTGATTAGAATAGTTTTGTAAAGATAAAATAGACACCTTTTAAGGTTAATTCTGACAGTTTTCCAAAATGCTATTATTAGGTCGCATACAAAGCTTTGCTATAGATTTGCAATTATATACTTCAATTTGTTTTTGCATAAAAGATCGCCTCTTTTCTAGTAGTACTATCATCCTGTATACATATATACGGCAGTAATATGCTAATATACCAAGATGAAAGATTTCTATTTAAAATATCTTAAACATCGTGTCACATTTTAATTATCATTAAAGGATTAATATGTTTAATTCATTAGCACAATACTACTATTTTATAATTTATAATAAAATTATTCTTTTAATTTAAAATCTCATTAAAAATTGTTGAGTTTTATTGTTCCATAAAATTCAGTAAACGGGTACTCGTTTCTAGGATATTGAAAACATTTTTGAAATAAATTTAAAACGGGTTAGAATATCAAGAATGTTTCAATTGAGATCAAATTACATAATTAAAAAGAAGGAAATTATGTACTTTATAAAAATTTGCTTGTGCACATTTTTTAAAACGTACAGTTTCATGGCGAAAAATTGTTAGTAGAGCATGTTCATAAAATGTTTTTTTTTTTCTAAATAAACCAAGTTTTGTAGAAACGCGCTCGCATAAATGTATCTAAATATTACTACAAGGCGCATTGAGGCTTAATACAATTGTTCTAAATGGATGACTAGAGCACACATTTCAACTGTCGTTCATTTAAACCGTGTGAAGATCTACAACTGTCCACTTTCCAAACATATTATTTTTTCCTGTTGAGCATTATAAACTGCAGTGAAAAACAAACAGTTTCTTGGGAATTATGCAAAGTTATGTTGTACTGAGAAATGAAAATTGGATTTTTGATTTCTAAATGATCAATCGATCAAAAATATGATATCAGGATAATTAAAATTAGAATATTTTCCTATATACTTAATTATTCTACCGTCTAACGTTTCTGTTAAGAAACCATAAATAAAAGTTTGTATATTTAAACTATGATGAAGCATTTAATGAAAATAATCACGTCGAGAAAAGACAACTTTTTGATGTGGATTTAATTGATTCCTGAAACGTCTTGCTAAGAAAGCTGCAATCACCTGAAAAAACATAAACGTATACGATTCACAGTGAATTCATAATTAATTCTGTTTCTAACATCCATTAGACATCAATAACATCCGAGAGTTGATAGAATGTCACAATGGCGATATCGCCGATTTCAATCCGATTTTTGCTGGTAAGCTGGACATACATATGCATATACGTATAGCTAAATATTTGTGCCAACGCACGTTACTAATAAAAATATTTAAAGCTGAAGGTTTAATAAAACAAAGGCATGCTTTGATTACACAGAGTGAGAAAGAATACTCCACAATCTGAATTGTTAAAGTCAGTTGCATTATTAACTTCTAACTCGTAGGTTCGTTAAATCTCTAATATATTTCTAAATATCTTTCTTTCATCGTTTTTATCAACGAACATCATTTGAATAAAATATGGTCGGTAAGGAACAAACAACTGGGTCACTGGTGAGTATACGCTATAATTTCATTAAATACATTGAATTTGTTTGTACTTGCTGTACATTATTATGAACACTCAGTATGTATCTAGTTATTTTTGTTAAAGATTTACTAGATAAAATTTATTTGAAATCCGTGATCACTGTTGGATCTCACCTCATGCGCTTTACGAGACTTGTATGATAATATAATGTACATAATATGAATGAATGACATAAAAAATGTCTTGACAAATGTAAATATGATAACGTACAAAATAGAAAATTATAACATGAAACCACTCACCATCTATTAGGAGGATCGTATGAGGTGACAGAGGACATAACGATGGTGTTAGACTAGAGAAAAGCACTGGGATTAGCTCGTGGATCTTTCTGGTTCCTGTACCGCACAGTCAACCAAACACCAATGAACTGTAACGATTACACAGGTTAACATCAGATAAATAACACTTTTCATTACAACAAAGTGAAACAATTCACAGCTATAATGTACTTCTTAAGCAACATATCAAATTGTCATAGTATATGTCCAAATATAAAATAAGAATATATTCAATGAATTTTACCTCTGTGAAGCTAAAGAACAATCCGATACTGCCACACAATTTAAATGCATAGTCAATTGTAGATTCTAATTTTTCCATACACGATTTACATGCACAATCATCGTTTACAGGATAAGGACAACAAATTTTCTGAAAAATGAAACAGAAATTAGAGGAACTGTTGATTGCTATACATGTGTATGATTTATCATAAATATACATACATTTACATCTGTGCAAGACAGCGGACTTTGATTTTCTAATATTGTATTTACGGTATTATTAAATCCACAGCAAGTAAAAGTGACCTGGACTTTTGCTTTCAAGTCATTTCCAACACGTCTCCAACCCTAGAAATGAAAATAAAGATTTTTTTCTATGGTAAGTGAAAAACACTATTCTAAGATATTAATATTACCTCTTCTGCTAGTTGTTCTTGTTGCTTGGCATTAACAGCAAGACAAGCGCAAGCGATACTGAACTGAATCAGGAATAACAGGAACAAAATGAGCATGTACTATGTAATTACTATTAAGGACTATATTAGAAATATATTGCATGTATTCCTTCCCAGAAAAAAAGCAAAGTATAACTACTGTATTATGTTCACATACCTGTACATAAATAATAATCAGTTAAACAAACTAAACACCAATTGACATTTTCATGTTTATTTAAATATTCTTTGCATAATAATCCCTTGATGTATCACTATTCATCAATTCATAAAAGTAACACAAAACTAACACATAAACTGTTTTCTTATTTTGATATGGTATCGTACTCTGATATACTGCCACAATTTATGTATTAAAACTTGAAACAACTTATATAACAAAGTATATAATAAGATAAAAGCAACATGTTAGAATTATAACAAATGTTTCAAGACAGATGTAGTCAGACACAATAAAGTTTTTGCGAAATTTACATGACTATCTTATTTGTTATACTCTAATACATTGCATTCAATCCTGCATATTCAATATAATATTTGCCAACTTTGAACTTATATGAATCTTCAAGAGAATACATCTTGAATAATATACCGAAGTGAGCAAAGTTATATCAAATATTTTTCATATATAATAAATAAGCTTAAGTGTTTATATTTGAGCTAAAAAATAGTTAACGCGCAGACCTGTGTTTATTGGCATTTTTGTTACCTTGTTTTTATAATTTATATATACATATACAAAGGTTATCTTTATTGTTACCATTATACAAAATGTCTGAATTAATATTTGTTTAAATATCACCACAATAGAAGTTTACATTGAGGTATTTCACATCAATATGAATGTTTTAAAAGGATACAAAGAATAATAAAACTTGGTGATGTTTAACAGCTCCGATGAGACCAAGTATCGAAATAAGAATTAAAATCACACCACATGCTAAAATACCTCCAATTATGGGAAGATTTGTAACTAACGCAGAAGCTCTTCCATAAACAGCAACACCTATTAGAATAAACGCAACAACCTAAAACGTTAAAGAAATGTATCGATAAAATTTTCAACAGTTCAAAAACTGAAATGTGATTTAAATACTACTTCTGTATCTGTGTATCCTATAAATATACTAAACAAAATTGTAATTAGATGATAACAATACTAAAGTATTCGAATTTCATAAAAAATTCCTCCTTGTGAAATGTACCAATTTGTATTCACTTAAAAATGAGGACAAAGTAAACACGAAAATTCCACAATAATGGAAAATAGAGGTCAAATTGGATAATTGCTTTCATTGTTTTGTAAGTATCGTAGATTATCGTAAAAAATTCTTCCCTGTGAAATGTATCAATTTGTATTTACTTAAAAACGAAGACAAAGTAAACGATTCCACAATAATGGAAAATAAAGGTCAAATTGGATAATTGCTTTCATCATTTTGTATGTATCGTAAATTTTCGTAAAAAAATCTTCCTTGTGTAATGTATCGATTTGTATTTACTTAAAAACGAGGACAAAGTAAACGATTCCACGATAATGAAAAATAGGGGTCAAATTGGATGATTGCTTTCATCGTTTTGTATGTATCGTAAATTTTTGTAAAAAAGTTTAGTAAGTTTCTGTTTGAAGTAATGTAGATAATTCTGCGAATGAAAGTGTTGCTTACAATGTAAAGGATGTTTAGCGCCGTCAATGCGTTTTTCGAGCACGTAAACCCGCCGCACATCTTCGTATATGAATTTCGACCTCTTTGGCGTCCTCTCGCAAAGGTTCGTTGATTAATTGAATCACAATATTCTAATAATTCGTACACTTTGTTGCACTTTGTTGTCAATAGCGCGATTAACGAGAAAAACGCATGTACATCAACTCATAAATGCTGATGGCAGACAATTTGCAACTGTGCTTTCGCACTGCACACCTCGGTGCATCAAAACGAGTTCGACCTTTCGAGACTCAACACTGGGCGCGAAAAACAAATCTCAGAAATAAAGAATCTTAATCGAAATTTACGTAATCGTCCACCCATTAATACGAATTTGTTTTAAATGCATAATTCACTTTTGTTTGGTTGTACTTAATTTACTGTTGCGAAATTGGCGTGAATATGTGTAGTAATATACAAATATAATGCAATCATACTTATCCTGGTTTAGACAATTTGTTTTTAATAATTTATCGAACAGACAATTGAGTAAATTGTAAGTGTAAGTGTTTGATAGATTCGAATTACGTTCAAGCTTTAGATTTAATCGGTAGATTACCAAGCTATTCTTCAACAAGTGATTCTTGGACTTATTACATAGACTACCAAGGTGGGGGGATACTTTATACAAAATATTTAACACTTTAAAATAAAGTGTTTTATTATTTTATACATATTATATGAAATTAAAACAATATATTGCTAATGACTGATTAATGATTTAATATATTTGAAAGCACTATAGGCTATATTGTACAGGGTGTCCCAAAAATGTTGTAACACCTTGAAAGAGGTAGTTCTGGAGGTGATTTGAAACAACTTTTTCCTTAGCGAAAATGTTGTCCGAGGCTCCGTTGAGGAGATATTAAGAGAAAACCCCAACCAATCAGAGTGCGCGTATACCGTTGGAGCGGCTGTGGTAGCGAAGGCTACGCGCTAGGCGGTAACGTCAATGTCCTTCGATGAACATAGTCACTTGTTCGCGTACAAGCGCGGCCGCCTAGCGCGTAGCCTTCGCTACCGCGGCCGCTCCAACGGTATACGCGCGCTCTGATTGGTCAGTGTTTTCCGTTAATATCTCCTCAACGAAGCCTCGGACAACATTTTCGCTAAGGAAAAAGTTGTTTCAAATCATCTCCAGAACCACCTCTTTCAAGGTGTTACAACATTTTTGGGACACCCTGTATAATACCTATTGTGATAAAAATTAAATATGACTTTTTTTATTACAATCTTGATTTTATGAGACTGCATGTTGCACGAATAATCCATACCGAGGTAAATTAGATAAAATATAATCTTTTATACAACACAGAATTAATATTTACCTTCGAATAAATGGTTAGCACGTTTGAATGTCTTTAAATATTTCAAGTTACACGATGGTATACCATTATATTTCTATTTACAATTTCATAGATCTTTGTCTAACCAAGGTACGGCTTTCAACTATTTTGCAAGTAAAATTTGGAATATTTAATTATATTTAAAAAAATAGAGAATCCCCATTAATTAATGTCTGTAAATCATGTACTATTAAATTTTATTGTCATATTAGAATTGTGTATCTGGAGAATTTTTAAGTTTTCATTTTGTCCGTACAAATTTCCTATGGAAGATTTAAAACATTGTAGTAATTTAATTACCGTGTTATCTTTAATATGATATATTTATGATATTAAGTCTACGAGATTTCAGTAACATGCACGTACCTACTCGGAACGATTATAAATCACAAATAAGTACGTCCATGTAATTAGTAGGAGATAAAGCTTACACAGAAATATGTTCAAAATACATTCTCAGCGGCACTACAATAGATTATTCTAGGTATATACTTAAATTAAAAATGTAATCGTGATAATATAATACAAGCAGTAAATGGCATTATTAACTGATATAATCCGATTGAAGATGATAGTCAATTTTTTACGATAATTCGAACCGAGATTCGACGCAAAATGTTCTCCACGCTTTTAAAGTGTGTTTAGTTCCCGCGATGGAAAAAAATATATAGGCATCATAAATACATCCCGATAACAAGTGGCAAGATTAAGATTCTCCATACGGAATACAAAATTAAACATACGAGATAACGTTATAAACGTGACACTATATCGTTTTAGTACGACAGAAACGATTGTTTTCACAATAACTTGAGAAAAATTGAGTCATATCGAAATTTCATGACGTAGCTGACTAGCTTCAATTTTTTTTAATCGACACCAATTTTATCAGGAATACTTTTGTGTATTTCTGGGGATTCAACATTAATAGCACTCAATACCGAAGGTTAAGAATATAATATTATTTATTTAAAAAAGTACGTTTTACAGTATGACGTCGTATCTGTATTATAAATTATTATTCTTTTTAACATTTGCATAAATGTAGCTGAAGAGCACGTCCTTCGAATAAAAGAAACCCATTTCATTGTGATGTACAATTCATTTTGATCTTTTATACTTATATATAACCCATTACTGAATTTTATTATACATATATTAATATTTCTATTTTTATAATATTATTGATTTTCCAATATTGCTGAGATTTGAATTTCTTGGTAACTGGTTAACAATTTGTTCCACTAGTTGAGCTTGGACATTATTAGAACTTTGTTAGACCGTAGCATCTAATCATTGAATTCATTTCATGTTTGCTCTTAATGTAACAGACAGTTGTTTCCGCAATTCACTTAAAGAGTGCGAATTTTTTCGCGCGATGCGTATCCCTGATTCGCAAATACTGCACCTGTTATCAGATTCTTTGAAAACTCTTGCACCTACAACCTTGGTACTTGTACGTATCTCAATGTAATTCTATTATACTTCCAAGAATTCGAAGTCTAGGGCATACATTTCAGATACATGCTCCAATTGTTTTCACGGAAAACATGCAAATGCTTCCGTGGTCAATTGCAGGGGGGTGCGATAAAATAGTAAATAATAACGCACATCTAAATTATCGCTATTGTAAACGAAAAAGGCTTGCAAATGAAATTTAGTTTTAAATGAGAACTTAAAATTTTGACCACACTTCGTTCGACTACTGTACGAGTATCGATGGATAAAAATCATTCTACTCTCGTTTCTTGATGTTGCCCAAGAATGTGGAGATGTTTCATCATTTCTTTTATGTTTTGTATTGTCGGTCAAACATGTGGTGATTTATCTGTGATGTACGATTCAAGTATTTATATCTGAATGTCAAGGTAAGTAGACACATGAAATATTAATATGCCATTATCTATAGATTCTGCACTTTAAATTGTGTACAATAATTTATAGCAAATATGATGGGAAAGTACTGAAAAATGTGGTTAAAGTTGTAAGCCGAAACGTAATTTTCTGGCTTTCAATGATCATAACTTCGAAGTGAGTGCATGAAACTTAAAAATTCCAACGGTATTTCGTAAAGAAAAGTCAATATTTAAATAATATGCAAAGAAATATTGCTCAGATTGTTGGTTAGTAACGGTAAAACGCAACAAATTGAGATAACGTATTTCAGAATATTGATAGAAGTCATTTGTCAAGAAAGACGTGCACCTTCGGTTGGAATTCAAAAAATCCATTAAAAGGAACTTATCAAGAAAATAATGCTCAGAAATATATATTTAAGAAAACATTTTTGTACACCATGGTGACGAGCATGTTGTTCACATATTGCAACATTGTTATGGTACTCCGGATTTGCGCGACATCAAACATCCATACATTTACCTGATAACTTTCTCAACCGATATTTTATCGAAGAAATATCATCCGAAGAAGAAGGGGATGAAATTTAATAACAATTTTTCATATTGAATCCACTTAATTCCGTTTTAGAAGTGAGTTACAGTATAATATTAAACATTTTGAGGAATATTTGCCTCCTAATACGTTATCTCAATTTGTTGCGTTTTATCGATACTAACCAACAATCTGAGCAATATTTCTTTGCATATTATTTAAATATTGTCTTTTCTTTACAAAATAGCGTTGGAATTTTTAAGTTTCGTGCACTCACTTCGATGTTACGATTATTTGAAATCAGCAAGTTACGATTCACCTTTCAACTTCAACCACATTTTTTTCGGGCTTTCCCATCACATTTGCTATAAGTTATTGTGCACGATTGAAAATGCAGAATCTATAGAATGAACCCTCGTTAATATTTTAGGTGTCGGGCGGGGTACAAATTTGGCACTTTTTTAACATCCGCCTTTCGACATAATCGCACCAATGATTGTCTCTATATTAATTTTTATCGATGTACTCGTGTATACGACAATTTTTCGTACAGTAGTATCATCAAAATTTCGTACTGTCGAAGCTGTGTAAGTATGTCTATGTTCATTCGTATCAGTACGATGGGAATCACTAAACGTAGACGTGCCTGGTTTAATTACGATGCTGGATATTCCCATAATCTTTGTATTTTCTGATTATATCTGTGTTTTATTATCTATTATCAAGGGTTCTTGAGAAATCTTTAGAATTCTGAACGTTCTTATGTGAATAGACTAGGCGACCCATAAGACAAAACTATTCCAAATAATATTTACGTGAAGTTACAAGTTGAGGGGATGCAATTGCTCCCTTGGGTTTTATTCAAATTTGAGAATCCCTTATTTTGGAAACATTCGTCTGTAAGTTCTCACATGAATTTTTACATTCTCTTAAAAGAATTAATTACATTGTCTTCTATTCAAAGGAATAAATTTAACTCAATCATTCAAATTCAACATTTTTATATAATAATTATTGTCTATGCTCATGACGTTACGCAGGTATAAGAATTCTCTTACGAACACCTAGTTTCTCGCAAATATGCAATCGACGTATCATTTATAGATACAGGGTGGGACAAATAAAGTTTTAACAGTTATAAACATTGCGGATATCGACTTCAACTTTTTTGTCCCATTTAAATGAGACGGGAGGCTGATCATTCGATATCCAAACAAATTTTCTTTGTTGTTCAAAGAGGTCAAGCAAGACGTTTCATTTTTTTAATTAGACAGTGTATACATTTTTCTTGTATTTGAATAAATGTAATTAAACATGATTAATTATATGACAACAAATTAAATATGACTCACTTTGCACATTTAAAGACATTATAAGTACGTTTAGAAACAAATATTTTAAGTTATTTAGTTTTTGTGGCATACATTCATTCTGTGTAAAAGTTTCTTTAAATGTTTTAAGTAAATCTTAAAAGTATTAAATATTACATATAAAAGTTAAATACATTTTTTCTCTTTAATTATTCCACCTTCAAGCCTTTGATTCGCACAATGCTTTGCTTCTCTGTCTTTATTTTTCAATTACTTTATATTTAGTGAGTGAGATTTATTTATAAGGTTGCGAGATTGTATAATATTGACAATATCATGTTATACTGACTGTAACACTCAACACGGGCGTATCGAGGAAGGGTGGGCCAGGTGGACGAAATTTAAAATAAAACAGGAAAAAACTATAAAGAACAAATTTCTTTCAAAATTAATTTCGTTTTTAAATAAATGGAGTTCTTCTTTTTGTTATTATTATTGCATGTCTCTCTCCTACTCCTCGTTCTGTTTTGAGCTGGATACACCCATAACACCTAATATACCAGTCTTGCATTTGTTTGTTCTTTACATTCATTTAATTCTTCCTTACATTACTTAGCATTTGCATTTGATTAGATACTTCTCATTAAAATTCACCAATTAGGGATGCCAGTAGTTTAATGTGGCCCCTATAAGCTCGGGTACCTCGGGATTGCTAAACCCGTACTGTAGCTACAATTAAACATAGCTACAGCCCCTGAGGGCATATTTATCTCTAACAATAAGCCTCTCTTCTTCTACTCAACTATACGATATCTGATAATTTTCTTTTTCAATTCTGTGAAGTAATAGTCACCAGATGATGTATCAGAAAGCATTGTGATGCAATGGTCTCTGTTAATTGGATGTCGTACGAAGGTTCACGGTTACACAGGGTGTCCCAAAAGTCGGGGAGGAGCCGGAAATGGGGGGTAGCTGAGACGATTCTGAACAACAATTTCCTTTGCAAAAATGTCGGATGGGGCTTCGTTGAGGAGATATTAACGGAAAACACTGACCAATCAGAGCGCGCGTATACCGTTGGAGCGGCCGCGGTAGCGAAGGCTACGCGCCAGGCGGCCGCGCTTGTACGCGAACAAGTGACTCGACGTGCATCGAAGGACATTGACACTGCCACCTAGCGCGTAGCTTTCGCTACCGCGGCCGCTCGAACGGTCTACGCGCGCTCTGATTGGTCGGAGTTTTCGGTTAATATCTCCTTAACGAAGCCCCATCCGACATTTTTGCAAAGGAAATTGTTGTTCAGAAACGTCTCAGCTACCCCCCATTTCCGGCTCCTCCACGACTTTTGGGACACCCTGTATATAGACCACGAATAAATATTTTGTGTAATCGTATTTGTTAGAAGTGTTTTGCGTACGTGCTTCAGGAGTTTGATTTCAAATAAAACACAAATGGTGTAAAATATAGCCAGATTATTTTACTTTAAACGAAAGTAGGCATTATTAAGATTAAATCTGAAGTCCGAGGACGTTGACTGTCCACCGTAATTTGTTATTAAAAAGTAAAACTCTAAAGCTCCTTTTGGAAAACACTTCATTTTTTAGCGAAGGGGTTATCTATTTTAAATAAGACCAAGATCCGTGTAAGTGTTGCAAAGAAGTTTCAGAAAACTTTACATTACTTAGAAACGACATCTGCGTAATGATGTTCTTCAAAATCTCAAGATTCATTGCGCCTGGATTTCTTCGTATTGGACGACTTTAAAGATATCGTTTACGAGATGAAAACGATTTATAAAGAAAAATAATGGAAACAAGTACCTCGATATCTCGAACAATATGACTGTTTGCCACTAAACATGGAATATATTGCGCTAAAAAATTCATTATTCGTCATAGAAATCACATTGATCAAGTTGTGTAATCTTATCAATAAGAAATATTAGTAAATACAATGATACAATTCATTCCTATTGCATTCATTTCTAAGAATCGTGATGAAATCTTACACAACTATTATTCATAATATATATTTAGTATATATTTGAATATCCACTTAAGGGGTTGTTAATTTATGAACAATTCGTTTGCAGAATCTCGTCTATCATGATCATTTTCCACTGATTTATTCAATGGATATAAATACACTGATACGCTAAATTTTAAATCAATCTCAAAATATTTGAAAAGGTTATACAAAGTATCATACTATATATTTTTAAAGCGACTGTTTTCCCCTTTCATTTAAATTCGTTTTGATTTTATTTTGTGTCCCCTTCAAACAATTGTTTCGACAACGAGAGTAGTTTTTTCTATTTTTGCTTCGTCGACTAGTCAAAAAGTGACAAAAATGTTGTCAATAATTAATCTCATGTTCAAGATTTATTTCAATGGAATAAATCGATGAAAAGTCATGATAGACGAGATTCTGCAAACGAATTTCTAAAATAAAAATCATCATCATGTTAAAAAGCATCAGCTTTGAAACATTTATAAACAATTTAATAAAAAAAATAAAAATGAATCATTCATACATTAACTACTCTTCGAATGCATACTGAAAAACATTTGTTGCGAAAACGTAAGATAAATGATAAATATACTCTTTTACTTATTCATAACTCTTGGAAAGTGAATATTAAAAATTACATCTTATTAATAAACGGTAAAAATATCCGAAGAGATACAAACAAGAAATTAACAAGACACTACAACCTCCTGAAATCAACTGTCAATGCTAAATATTATTTGTAATTATTATTAGATGTAAAAAATTGGTTTGTCTAACCATACGTCGTTGTCTGTTTTAATTATTTATAAATAATTAATCTCGTATGAATATAAGTATAAAGGATGTAACTCACAGTGGTATATGAATAAATTAAAAAGATTCTTGGAAAATCATCCTCCATCCCCGCGTATATAGCAAAATGAATAGAGAAATAGCGTTTAACTTTGTTTTTAGAATGTTCTCCCTCTCGTTTCGTTATTCTGTTCTTTAGTTTTTCCCTCGGGACTTCGCGTATTCTGAAAACACCAAAGATTTTTCTTAATAACGAAGTGGGGATCGTCTGAAATTCGATTGTGATAACAGACTCGCTGATAACCGACGTATAAAGTGTAGTACACCGTGGTTAAACTCTCATTCGATCTATAATGCGCTGAAAAGAGGTTGGAGGAGAACATCAGCGCAGAGAGCTGTTTTTCTACCCGGTGGCATCGTCACGTTCCATTGCTATCTCTGTAAGTACTACATCAATGGAATCATACTTCATAATTGCTTTGATTTTAGTATCGTAAGTGCAGTTTGAAAATATCTCAAGTATTCGTAATTCCATATAATACCTCTATTGTCAGTATCTCAAGTAGAAATGATACCCCATGATTCACCAGTTGACGTCAATTATAAAATGTCCAGTTAGAGTAACTCAGGGGTGTATACTCTTTTATTTCTGTATCAGTGTCGAAGCGATTTTCATTGATTTTTTCGCCAAAGTACTTGACGTAAACATTTGAAATATGGTACATTGGTTTATACAAGTATCCATGAGGTTCTTTCAAATTTGCAACTGTTCTGTTCGATTTATTTTTAAGTCACGTTCGAACTAATGAGTCAGTGAGTTTCATTTATAAGGGCGCGAAGTCGTATAATGTGGCTGTTAACACCTAAAGTACCAGCTTTACATTTGTTCGTTCTTTATATTCATTCAACTATTGCGTTACATTCAGAGCTTTAGGGATATTGGTACACATGTGCACGTTTGCTTCTACATTAAATTTACCATTACGATCGCAATACTTTTTAGAATTAAAAATGTACCATATTAAAGTGATACAGTATATGAGTATGTTAAAATCGACTTACAGATCAAGATTGCTTTGGTTTGCGAGTGCCGATTAAAACAGGCAGAAATTCATTTAACATTTATCCCTTTATCAACAGGTTAAAAGAAAATTGACAAAATCGAATTATATTATATTATTTTCGAATTATGCTTTTAATGGCCCGACAAATAATATAGTAATTTTTAATGAAGAGAAATAGAAAATTTAATCAATAGAATAAATAGAAAATTTAAAATAATATTTTAATTCACGCTACTAACAGCCAAAAGTGTTTTTTATATGTTTTGAGATACTTAAATTTCGAGTTCGATCAACCTAACGGAACTGCCTGTGATATAAACTGTTAGAACTTTGATAATTTTGACATTTTTTAAACACGATTTGATAGAAATATTTGAAATACCTTAGGCAACAAGAATATCGAAAAAGACTCTATTTTTTAACCCAGAAAAAAAGTACTATTGTTATGGCTGCCATGCTCACAATTATTTACTTCAAAAAATGCAATTAAACGTGAAAAGCGTAATTTTTCAAATAATTATTCCTGTCATTTTTATTTTACACGGATAGTTTTACCTATGTATTATTTTCAGTCCAGTAAAGAAGAAATAAGAAATATGGACAAATCGCGCATGAAACGATGGCCGCAATATATAGCAGCGTTTACAGGTAATTCAAGAAACAATATTTTGCGAAATAAAGTGATTTTTTGCGCTGACTCGTGCGATTAATACCAATATTTACAGTTGTAATAAAATTATTCTAATCGTAGACTCAACTATTTCGATGTTATTGTTGTCTGTAAGCGTTCGACGAGTATAATATTTGAAATAACCAGATTTAACTGTGAATAATTAATCACTCCTAATAACGAATAACTGTTCACAGAGTTGGACAAATATTATTCTGAATAAAGAATACAAATTCCATGTTTCTTTGTATGAGTAAAGACAAATGAATCTTTTAAATACGCTCCCCAGAACAGAAATGAGAAAATGTCTTATCTAGACACAAATGTCGAATAACGCATGAAAATGTAAACACGATTCGCGTCGTTATTTGTTCAATCAAAATTACAATCTGCATTAAACGACGACATTATATTCCACGGTGAAACAGATTTATATGTAGTTAAAATCTCGATAACTCTTAAGTGAAGTAAACGTTGGAAATAAGTGTTCTCATTCATCATTTATTATTTGAATAAAATTTTGATTGTCTCTAACATAAAGCAAACGATGTTCAACTATTCGTTGGAGAAGCACAGTGGCCGAAAAATTCATTTGTTTTTATTCGTACGAACGCATCTAGAATTTAGAATATATTTTTAATTTAATTCAGATTTTTAATTTATTTTTCAATTTTTGAATAATTTGTTTAAAAAATTTATTTAATAATTCGTCGTATAGTATCTTTATAAACATTTTCTGAATATACCTCTCATTTTGGAACCGTTATCGTGTTCTAATCCCCTAAATACGAATGATCGCTAATATAATTACAAAGATATTAAGAAATGCTATCTCTGCTTAAATTATTCAGAAATCATCCGGATGATCATGAGTGGTATAGTTTTTTTTTTGTTTTTTTTTTTTAAATAAATAGTAAATTTACCATATAAAGCCACAGAATTAATTTCTACACCTAATTATATTCCTACTTGACGCCAAATCTACAATCTTTTTCTTTTAAATACAGCCACCTTATCGATGGCATCGGCAGGCTCTCACATAGGCTGGACATCGCCGATACTACCGATACTGAAGTCTCCAAACTCCCATTTAGTAATATCATCCAGCGATGCCTCGTGGATCGCCTCGTTCGCGCTTCTTGGTTGCATACCTGGCAATGTTATCGCAGCCTTTCTAGTAGATCGTTGCGGTCGTAAGGCCTCCCTTCTGCTGGCAGCGATACCATTCACTGTCAGTTGGATCCTAATCATCGTAGCCTGGACTCCTTACATTCTCTACATAGCCAGATTCATCGCCGGGATCGGCACTGGCATGGTCTACGTCACCTGTCCGATGTACATCGGCGAGATAGCCGACAAGCAAATCAGAGGATCCTTGGGATCCTTCATAAAGCTGATGGTCACCTTCGGAGAGCTTTACTCCCACGTAATCGGACCGTTCGTGTCGTACGAGACCTTGGCCTACAGCTGCATTCTAATCCCGATCATCTTCTTCCTGACGTTCATTTGCATGCCAGAATCTCCGTACTATTTGTTGATGAAAAATCGCGAGGTCGACGCGATGAAGAACTTGGGGCTGCTGAAGAGATACGCCACGCAAGACCAGTTGCAGGAGGACATCGAGCAGATGCAGAAAACCGTGATTCGCGACCTCAACGACAAAGGACACTTCTGGGACCTGTTCAACACCCCTGGCAATCGAAGAGCCGTGTTGATCGGGTTTGGTCTCCAAGCTGTCCTTCAATTCAGCGGTTTGGCCGCGATCGAATCGTATACCCAAGAAATCTTCGAAGCAGCCGGCGACACGACTCTATTAGCTGCGGTAGTCGTGATCATCCTAAGCGTTCTTCAGCTAGTAGCTGGGATGGGGGCAGCTGCCTTGGTGGACAAACTGGGAAGACGACCGTTGCTTTTGTTCACGACTTTGCTCGATGGATTGACATTGACCATCACCGGTGCATTCTACTTCTTAAAGTATCAAATGTTCGTGGACATGTCCAACGTTGGCTGGATCCTTCACACCTCTGTAATATTCTACGAGATCTTCGTCGCGTTAGGTTTGAATCCATTGTCTTACATGATGCTGGGAGAACTGTTCCCTACCAACGTGAAAGGATTTGCTGTATCATTGGCGAACATGTGGTCCGGTCTTTTAGCGTTCGCCGTTTCGAAACTGTACCAAGTGATCTCTGACACGTGCGGAGTTTACGTTTCCTTCGGTTGGTTTGCGGTCAGCTGTTTCCTTGGAATGGTTTTCATCACCTTCATGGTACCGGAGACTAAAGGAAAATCGTTGATGGAGATACAAGAGGAGCTTAATTTTAAGAAGAAAAAAGTAAAAGGCACGAAAGGACAGCAGGAAATACACGTAAGTACGTTAGCTTAAGTCGAGGAAACCACTAAACTATATTCTTGATTTCCTTCGTTAATTTGTGTAAGCTCCTTGTCAATCGCTGCGAAGCGTTATTGTCATCAATCATTATTATTGCTAATCGAATCAATCAGCGATCGTTAAATAGTCCGTGATAATCGGGCTGAGAAATGAATGAATGAAAAGCGTCCAAGTGTCGTTATTAGACTGCGGATATTTATCCAAATTCGTATATTTACAGATACAAAAAACGAATTGAAACTTAAATGAAAGTATGTCTTCTGAACGATATAACGTCTATATTACCGTTGATATTTTACATACTTTTGCATTTGCGCGCATTCTCATAGATATCCACGTATTTGCATTTGCCATAAATGCATAAACATCCGCAGTCTAATAATTATAAAATGTAGACGCAAACCGAAAACGAGAATAATTTGAAAAAGTTATACATACCATACACCGTTACGAAAGTGAGCGTAGATATATTATTTTTTATATGGTTCCTAAATTTTTCACACTTTCCAATGTTTACACTTTAAAGTTCATTTTCAATTATATTATTATTCTCTCGCAATGAAAATTTATTTCTTGGTAGCGAAAGGATAATTTTGAATACTCGATTTTTTTTATAAAAGTGCATCTTTGTTTTTAGTATGCCGTCTAATAGCTAATTCTTTAATCATCGGGAAACGTGAATTATTTATCTCGCGCAAACAAGTGTCTTTCACGGGAGACGTAACACACAGATTTATCACTATTTTAAATAACCGTATGAAATTCTATGCGTCATATAAATCCCGTGTAACGTGGACGAGAGACGCGAATTAAATTCGACGTAAACGCTTTGCACACATTTACCTGTTTGCACGAGACGCTGTGCACACATTTACTTGTTTGCGCGAGTACGATTATGTATCAATATTTTGCACCGATAAAAAGCACGATAAACTCTTGCAATTAGTTGGTCTTGTCAACGTTCTTCGTAGCAACTTTTACGATGGAGAGTGTGGTTCTTTTTCTTTGTTATTCATGATTTCTTAAAGTTCATTGGAAAAATCGAATGCATACTTAGAAACCACGCTGTAACATTTGTGCGCTAGTTAGGATTTCGATTGTGGAAAGAGCAAACTCGCATGATCATCTTCTTTCCCTTTTAGGCAGGGTTAAACGTTGAGACTGATAGATATTAAATTAATCGTAAACTATATATTTATTCATCGCCAAGTATTGTGACAAAATAAGGAAAGGAGAACTGATTTTTATATGATAACAAATTAGAATACTTCACAACGTCACTTAATAGCAATGCAATTATTTAATCCGTGGATCACTACAGTGCTAAACGTTAAACAATGTATTTTAGACGTTCGTCGACCTCTGAATTCATTTAACATATACGGAACCGATCTCGGAGCATAAAATAAGCTTGAAGTTGAAAGAAAATTGATATCAATCGATATCAATTGATATCAACGGTTATATCGATATAGTATAATTATATAATTACATACAACTGTTCTAATTATATATAATTATACAATTATATCATAACAATTACAATTATACAATTATATTGTATATAACGTATATTGTTATAATTATATATTTGTATTATATATAAAATAGAGATATAAAAGTTGTATTTATATGTAATATAAGTGGCACAATCGTATCAATTTTCGTATGCGTTATTCACTTATGTGAATTATATATTAAATTACTTGTTTATTCGCCTTTTAAATGAAACTGTGCCATATATTGACATATGACATTTACAACATTGGGTGGTCTGCGGATTGAATATTGAAATTTTAGAAGGTAAATATTCTTTCCTTATGAGTGAATAGTCTGGCGATTAGGAACATCTATTATCCCTTTGAGGCAGGGTGCAAGAGAGATGATTAATAACATGATTACGATTAAACGTTATCAAAGCGCGCCGCGTATTGTCGCGAGTGTTTCGAATTGCGCGCACCAATTGGCCCTGATGCAAGAAGGATTTAGTTGAGCACCGTAGCATGACTAACTTTATACAATATACACACAAGCGAGAGTGAAACATATTACTATAGGAATAGCTTCAGCGCAAAATATAAATGGGCTGAAATTGAATATTTGTTATTATTAATAATGCGTTATCGCTTAGCGAATAGCGACAAGTTTTCGTATACGTATATCGCGCTGCACTCCAAATATCTGATAACGAACCAAACAATTTCACGTGTATCATGCACCAATCGAAATAACTTATCGTATAATTAAATTTTGTTATCGGTGTATGATATACGTAACGAGTGTACACGATTTTTGATCGAAGCGCGATATAATTATTGTAAAGTACGTCTTAACTGAAATATCTAATGAATATTCACGCAATTGCTGACTCTCTACAAGTCCCTTTTAGGCAGGGTGTAAGACTATCGAAATTGTATTTTCGTACAGATTTCTACCATGTAGAAGTTTGCAATTTATGTTACTAATATAATATATACCGTTTAAATAAAATTTAAGATCAGTAACATTCTTCTTATTTATTATTCCGACGTTCATTACAGACTTTTTCCTATAAATACATTCAATTCCTAAACGCAGTTTATTCCTTCCATTATTTCTCTGATTTCCTATTCTTTTTTTTTACAACTACATAACTCTTAGCCTACGTTAAGAGTCGATCGAGTTTCAATTAAATATGTAATTATATTAAATTTGATATTAAGCCTTTTAATGTAATATTTCTCATTAATGTAATAAGAAATGTTACATAAAAAATGTTCGTTATTACAGTTGTAGCCAATAAATAGGAACAATAAGGTACATTCCTCCTAGGTGCCGGGTCATACCGGTATCCAGGGCAACGAAAGGGTACACGAGCTAGCCAGACGAGGCTCCCTAGGGGCCGAAGGGGCGGTCGTGTGCTCTTTGGGTGTCTCGGTAGGCCATGTCAGAGCACTGAACAAACAGTGGACCGAAGACCGAAGGTCGCTTCCGGGCCCTTTAGTCATATGGATTGGTGTTGAGACACACAAGAGCCATGCTAATCTAAGCTCAGGCTTATTGTCAGTCTAGTTACGGATCACAGACACAATGGAAGGTACTTGGCCAGATTAAGACTAATTGAAACTAAGGGATAACACCACTTATCCTAGATGCGGGGAAGGTAGATGAAACCCCCCTATGTGTGATTATATGGTGTAAGGTGCTAGAGGATTCCTGGAATCTACCAACCTACCAACTTACTGGAGTTAGAGATCGGCAGACTCCTACGCTTTCCGATGATTTTATAATTGAACTGTAAAATATAAAGCAGAAAATACGCAACCGAGCATGAATTAGTGTAACATGACGCCATTTTTCAAGCTGTCCAACAAATCCAAATTAAAAAAAAGTTTCTATTAATTGTTTTCATTTATTCTTGACAAGAGATCTGTAATGAAATCCTGAAACACGTTTACGACCAAAAAAAAAATAGTAAATATATAAATAAAAACATTTTTAGTTAATACATGTTATATCGTATTGCTAATAATAAATACAGATATAATTAAAATGAAGTGTGGTAATAATGATGAAGACTGATTTAGAAATAAGCGATTAAAACCTGAAAATATTGAAATTATGTTACTATCGATAATAAATTATGTGTAATTGTATTTTATGATACACAAGTTCTTACTTTTTTCACTAGGGTCTCGACTTCCACATTGTCGGTAACCTAAAGTAGCCTTGCGTTTTGTAGAGATATATCCTGGAATGTATAAACTTGGTGCATCTAATCTTCCAGTGGACATAAGTTTGTTAAAATCTTCTTCTAATTTATTAACAATTGGACCTAAGTGTTAAATCATAAAATAATTAATTAATGGTTCAATAAACGTAAATATGTTATAAATATTATGAATTACCTTTAAAATGTAATAGGAATTGAATGCATGCACCGTTATGTAAAGTTTTAGTTTTTCTATTGTCTATAGATAACATCCATTCAGGAATACCCATGACTTTTCTTACATCCTCTAAAAATTGGGCCCTAAAATAAACATTGTGTATCTGATTCTTGTGTACCATTGTAAAATAATTAATAATTCTTATATTTAAAAATATAACAAATACGATATTGTATATATACTGACACTACAAAACGAGGTGGTTTTCTTATGTTTGAATATTTTATAATATCATTATCTGGTTCGATATTGGCGCAAGCGTATCTGTTACGCCCAAAATCTTTATCAAAAATAACAATGGACCTTCCCATTGCAGTCTGTGATCCACCTAAAGGAAAGTTGGAATCTGTAAAAACTTGTCTTTCTAATCCTATATTAATCGGACCTAATCGGCCTGATATATCTCCTACATAACATCTTAATGGCAAATCAGGCCCACATTCTTGTCTATAGAGCTCATCCTATAAAACGAAGTTTAAATCATTTTATTGAATTAAAAAACTTACTATGTTAAATATAGCTTTAATTAACATTACATTTAAAGGATCAGCCAATTGGGTAAAATGAGGATTCCATATATATCCTCCCGCCACACACCTAGTATCTTTCACATGCACAGCAGCATCAACACCAACTGGATTTACATATATTGCCCAATTGTGATTTTTTGTCTGTAATAAAATTGTCTAAATTCTTAAGAATTTATTATTAATTGGTTAGTATGGCTAAAGTACTTACAACGTTACGATCATGTTTCCCAGGATGTCGGAGTTTTACTTCAATTACAGTTTCGCTCTGACTACCATCTCGATATACTAATTGCGTCTGCAATTATTAATTAATATTAAAGTTTATTATTGCATGTTACTATTTTTAATATCTACCGTACCATTCTGATGTAACCATACGCAAAACCTTGTGGATGATGAAAGGAAGCAATTGCTCGCAGTTCGCTAGCTTCAGATGGTGAATATCCTCTTTCTATACTTGAACATGCCCATCTAAAAAAAAAAAATACACGCTTGGTACTCATTAAGTCCACTGTAAACACTAATATCAAGTCTACCAATATGGATAATGAAATACATATAATTGTAATAATTACAAATTATACTAACTACCTTATATTCTTTTTCTTTTTATGAATCACTATGCTCCTGCCCAATACACTTCTTGATCCAAACAAAGGAAGGATTGTATCGTTATAAGTTGATGTATATTTTTTCCTGTTTTCCAAAGTACCAAATTTTCCACTCAGGTCACCAATTTCATATTGATCAGATGTTCCTTCGCCAGGAAGTGGTGTATTATCTACATTGACATTCAATGGATTCCAATGTCCGTATAAAGATGTACTTTCACATGGAAATTCTAAATCTTCTTCTATGGGAGTCTAAAATATATACATATGAATTATAGAAAATTAAGAAATATCAATTTTCCTCCATTTATCTTACCATATGCACATGATATCCACTCATTATTCCATTGAGACCATCCAAATTGACTTCTACATTTGTAACATCATATTCAGTTTGTTGTATGAATTCCAATTTTCCTCTTAATGGAATATTCTCTCCATTTCCAAACCAATCTTTTGCTACAGCTTTGCGATTATATACTCTGTTGATTCTAAATAAAAATGGTAATATTCAATTTATACTTGTAATAGTAACATAATTTTTAGTAAAAAGAAACTAAATTTTTTATTATAATTCAGTTATCTGTTAAATTTACACTGAGCATGCTAATCTTTCTCCTCTTGCACGTGGCCCATGATCATCGTATATTACCAAGCCTTTTCCTAATATGCTATTAGGTCCAGACAAAGATAGCATTGTATCCGTAAAGAGTTTTCGAGTTAAAAGAGACCCATAAAGTTTTCTGCCAGCAATATCAATTGTACCATGTCTTGTTAGATCACCTACACTGCATAATGTTATTTCAGCCGTTGAACAGTATTCAGGATGATTTGAATCTTGTTCCACCTGCAAAATTTGAATTTGTATTATTAAAAAAAAAAGCAGGTACATTAAATATTATAAATTTCTCAACTAATTTCATTGAATTATTGTACTTTATATGGGTTGTAAGGTTCTCCAACACTCAAACATCTGCCTGTCCAGTTATAATAATCTTTTCCTGGTGGATTATTATGAATCTTCCATCTAAATATTAAGATAATAATATTTATTTTAAGATTTTTGCGTACAACTTTCATAAATATTATCTTTAATAAATACATTTAAGCATGATACCTATGTAATGCTGAATTGTTTAAGGCATTACCATCTGCATGAATTAAATGTTCAATTATAATAGTAGTATCCATTTCAGGGTCATTTTGTGGTTGGCGGAAAATTATTTGACCAACAATAGGGTATCTGTATACAACTTGTGCAGTTATCATTGGCATTTGTCCAGTATTATCTGGTAAATAAAGATTCAAAGTACCACATGTCCATGGTATGACACTCATATCATCAGATTCATTATACCTGATAAAGAGTGTGCATAACATTAACAATATATGTTTCAATATTTTATTATAGAAATAATTTGTTTTATGAAGTTATTACTTATGAAGGACAAGGCTTCGATGAGCTACACTGTGAAGTCCTGAAAGTGGAAGATATGTGTCCCAATAAATTCCACTGAGCTTTGCACTTCCTGGTAAAATATCATTGTGATATGATCCTTCCTTGCGATTTTGAAGTTTTCCAGAAAGATCACCAACAGCATATTGATCTTGAGTTCCAAGCCCTGATGTTACATAATCCTTTAAGCATTTTCTTCTTAAAAAACAATATGAATTAAATAATACATATTTAATCAATCAATTACCTGCTGGTGGTACATTAATTACATCAATGTTACTTGGATTATACACGTTTTTAGTTGTTTTACACACTTCATCGGGGTTGCTTAAAGACACTGTTGTCTGTGGAGGCAATTCATGGATTTTGTATGATTGTATTTTAGTTGCATACCGCAGTCTTGTTTCTAAGTTATTAACTGGTGTTAAGGATATATTAATCCATGTTGGTTCAAATGGTGTTACTTGAGTCAGTGTTACTTCTCCTTTTATCCCTTGTGAATTAATTAATGTTCTAAATAATTGAAAAAGTGAAACAAAATCAAATTCAATGTAAACAGAAAATAATTATAAATATCTATTCAATAAATAATTTATATAGTATATAAGAAAATAGAAAACTACAATAATTTTTTTGAATTCTTACTTCACAAGAGTAGGCTTTCGATGATTAATCTTGCTACACACTAAAAAGGAATCATCATGTGTTGGATGAAAAATCACTAAATACAGTATACGATGGGGGCCAAGTAAATCGGTAGGTAGTAGAGATAATTCAGAATCTCTATATAATGTTTTATACATGTTACGATGTTTGGTTGTCACTTTTATTTTACCTAGACGTGAATCAATATCACCAATGGCTTTTCCATCACCAGCATTATTAGGATCAAAAACGGTCTGTAGAATGTTGCAACTTGACTTGTCTAAATTACAAATAAATATAAAAAATTTAATTGATTAAAAATGAATATATGAAACATATTGTCTAACAAAGTGTACCTTTACTATCAAAGATGTCGGTTACATAAATCTTCCAGTAATGTTCAGTATAGTCTACACTTTGTAATTTTTGTTTATTAACGTGATATAAATCCGCATAAACCATCGTATCAGTGGTGTTATCACCAGCCTGACCACCTAACCATCGAAACCAAACAGTTCCCGCCACAGGTCCGTAAAATCGTGCTTCCGCAAATTTTTCTACATTTTTCTCAAGTACCTAAATAATTATTAATATAAAAGCATTCATTCTTTAATTCGTACTTTGTACAAAATTCGTTTTTCGTATCTAAAAAATTACCGTGATCGAGGCGCAAATGGTTCTAGCCGAATATGAATCCTTAAGTATCAAGCCCTTGCCCCATAAACCATTTTTACCTGTCAGACTTATTCCTGAAATTTCCACCGATCCTGTTTCATTTCCAGGCATATCTAGTGGTCCAACAAGTTCTGTCAAATCGATGACACTACGAAATTTACAGAATTTTGTTTACTACAGTAAGAAATTAGAATAAAATTGTATTAAAAAAAAAAAAAAAAAAAGAAGAAGAAGAAGAAAGAAAATAGCTACCTTTCCCCAACATATCGTTCGTTGCATCTATCATCCACGATAGTGTAATCGATAGGAAACTTCGTGACCGATAAAAACCATTGCTGATCTGGATATTGAAGTGTAGCTTGAAGTGAAAATCTCATTCTCACAGAGGTTTGCGTAGATTTTTCGAATCGAATTTCTCCGTGAAGCCCGCCGGAAGAAATATACGCCGCAAGGCGTAAGGAATGTCCAACGGTAACTACAAAGAAATAAATATAAAATGCAACGTAATAATATAATGAAGATGTGTGGTTTAAAAAGAGAAAATCACATAAGGTGGGCAAATATTAAGTGTATGTTTTGAAATATATTTTGTAATTTTTTCAATCCATATCACACAGAAATCTTTGGGAAAGTACTGCAGTATCGACGTCCCATAACGAAACCATTAAATGTTTCTTGATAAAACTCGAAACTTTCTATTATGGCACCGCGTTATTATTTGTTTAATATAATAATATTGGCTGTGTTACAAATATGCGAGAATAAGTGTTATCGTGTAACCATTAATGTATTTTAATAAACTTTCTTTCATGTTTGCCTGTGTTGATTAGTAAATGTTTATCTAATGTTGGGAGAATGATTTTTCTGTATACAATATTACTCACCATAACACAATAAAATGAACCACCACATCTTTCCGTGTTGTAGAACAATATTTAACGCATTTTTCCAGTATTATGTATCGAATAACCAACCTGTTTTCTAACCCATACCGTTTCAAGCAGCTACTTTATAATGAAACCAGCCGAGGCTCAAGGTAATGCTGCTTGAGCACTTTCTCATTTCTTCGAACGTGTCCGAACGTTCATGGTGGGGTCCTGTAAGAAAGGGAACCTGTAAACTTGATGACTATACATTTACAGAAGTAGAATTCGATCATAAATAGTCGAAAATAGTCAATATAAAAGTAAAGAAATTCTAGTTTTACTCAGAGCTGGGCGAAGTTACATTTTAAATAGTAAATAAGAAATAATCTATTTTATTTCTTATATTAAGTTTTTAAAATAGTATTTTAAATATTACAAATTAGTAGGGAAAGAAGTACAAATTAAAGAATGAATGCTTTTATATCATGATTATTTAGGTACCTGAGAAAAATATAGAAAAATAGAGGAGCTTTAGTGGCGAGAAATCTATGAAACTGCCTCGTGTATTATACACGAAACAAAGTCCTTTTATTAAATCCTCTTGTAGGAGAGATATTATACTATCTTTTTGTTTCTCGAGAATAGTATAAATAATAAAAATTGCATAAATGTTCTAAGAAAGTAAGAATACGTTGAATCAACATTTAATTACTTTCCATGTTCGGGAATATTAATATTTAAAAAAATAATTTAAAAACAATCTGAATCTTCGAGATGCAATTAAAATTTTATCTCCGAATTAATTAAACGTTTATAATATATTATAGTAATACTAAGTATTCGGTTGAATATTAATTTACAATCGCGATTCAGAATAAGTATTCATTGAAGACATTAATCGCGGGGAACTTTTCTACATTTTAATATCTATTGGTTATTATAACTAAAAATTAATTTCAAACGATCCACGACTGTCACAGGTATTCAAATTCAAGGGGCGAGAATCCGATCCTTCCACGCGCATGCGTGTCTCGTGCCCGTCGTATTTTTATTTGTGTCTAATTACTAACATTTTCTTCATTCTCGTAGCTAGATATTGTGTCGAACGAAGACATATCTTCCGCCATGGGAATTTTAGTTATAAGACGTTAGAATTTAAGTTACTTTAAGTTAAGTTAGTTCTAAGGCCCGCGTGTACAAATGCATCCATGTACAAAATCCATCATTTAAAAAATTTTTAAAAGTCATTTGAGGTACGTTTAAGTATCACTAAAGATTCCAGCATAATATTATTTAAATTTGCTCAAAATCTGAGATGCTGCTCCATTTAATGTCCGATTTCTCGTGAAATGACCCAATATGTTATTTATTACGTTCTCCATTCAATACGTTCACAAGTATAAATGGTTTCCTAATTTCTTGCTGCATACCATTACTTTGTTATACGTGAATAGTCGTAACCTGAACCAAAAATAAACTTACTTTGCCAAATATTTTGGTTCCTTGCGTTGTAATGTCATTTCCTTCCTCAATTTATTTTCGTTGTCAACAAATTTTTGAAGCACATATTTCAAGAACAAAGTAAAACTATTTAATTTCGCATTCCAACTTAGAATTTTCTTTCTATGGTACCAGTCACTTGAAATAGTATTTGAAATATTTTTCTGTCGTTTCATCTAGATCAGGTCTCGTTTGCGTCATTTCAACACAATTTTCTTCGAACGAACCTGAAAATTGAAGAAGTTCGTGTATAAAAGAGTGCCAACGGCGTACTTAAAACAACGAACATTAATTTAGAAACAGAACTTAATTTCAACTGAATAAAAAACTATTTTATATTTTATTGATTGTTACATCATCTGTGCCTGGCACTTTAATTTTATCAAAATAAACGTTGCAAAAGGCAGAACGAAATACACACAAAAATTCAACGATGCGTCTGAAACTTCCTGATATTTTCTGCTCTCGAATATCGGGCAGTTATTTATGGAAACCAAGTGGTTTGGGCATTGGTATACAAATGAGAAATTCTTACAAGATAAAATTGATAAAAATCAAACTTTCTCCGTCGCGATAGCATTAATGTTTCTTTTCTGAAACAAACAATGCTATTTTGAGTCAAAATTGACTTTAGCAAATTTTAAAGTTTAATTATCAGTTTCAAAAGTGACGGGCTTTCAATTTTTCAAAAGTTATCATATCAAGAATGTAATGTTAAATAATATTATCGTTCATGTTTAATTATAATCAATGCATTTATGACAAGTGTAAGTATACAAAAATATGTAAGGAATTATTATAAAGGAAATATACAATATACTATTCTAATGTTACTAAACTTTATTTATTTCATGACCAAATGTATAGATAATGTTCTTGTCGATAACCATCCTTATCAGGGGGTAAATTATCCCTAATTATTTGACTCTTTGAAGCATACATTTTTCCTTTCGAATGATTTTAATACAATTTAGTACAAGACTTTTAGGAGATTTTGATTCCAAATCTGAACTAAAAATTTATAAATTCAAAAAACCGATCCGATTTGAATGTACTTGAGAGATTATTGTTTATAGTAAAAAATAAACATAGAAATAAATTTTGTACCTCTTCGTATGAATTTCGAGGAGGTCGTTTCACCTCTTAAACACAAAGGCCAAAATAGGAAAATTCGTGTCGAATATTGTTCTATATTCTTCACGTATGCAACATTTTTAAAAAATCGGAGGAAGACTTTGAACACATTCCTTGTAAACAAAATTCTAGACAAAGCAAGTACTCTACTCCTTAAACAAGTTCCTTTAATTCTAGGTTTACAGAGATTTCTTATCAGTAGACTGGGGATTTTTATGCATTTATAGGAAATTTCAATGTCCAATAACTGCAAACTGCACACAATGTGCGATAACATACAAAAATATTGAAAGTAAATTTCACATTACAATATTTGCAAAGTACAATAAATTCCTATTTAGATTCAATTTTTGTAGGTACGTTTACGAAGATTTTATTTTGCTTAAAGATCCGCAGTCTATCATCAGATTTCTATTATCGAAGTAATGCTTTGATAAATGAAGTCGATTTACTAAAATTCATTAGGAGGTTTTACCTAAAACGAATTTGAATATATGTTCGCATTTTTATATGGATAGAAGTAAGCATAAATGGTTGCCGAAACATATAAACAGTCTCTGTAAAACCTTGTAAAACTTGGAATGGGTCAAAATGATCATTAGGAGGTTTTAATAAAAATGAATTTGAATACATGTTCGCATTTTTATATGGATAGAAGTAAGCATAAATGGTTGCCGAAACATATAAACAGCCTCTGTAAAACCTTGTAAAATTTGGAATGGGTCAAAATGCTCGTGTTCCGTAAACCCAGCGTTAAATACAGGAGTCGCAAAAATACAGTTCCCCGGTTTAAAAATATTGCTCCCTATTATGTCATTCGTCGTGTGCGTATCTAGCAATTGATCACGATAAGTAGCTCACCGAAAAAAAAAGCTATGAATAGTATAACCCCCTTTTGGAAAAGCCTGTACTACGTCGACAACAAAACGGCACGATTCTCCGCGCTGTATTTACATTCTAATTCGAATTAGAACACCGTATCGGCGATTGCAGACGACATACGATAGTTGGGAACGTCAAACCGACCGCTACCGTTTCCTTCTTCGTCGTTGCACGTGTTTAAAAACGCGAGACGCATAAGACTAAGATTATCGTAACCATCCTCTTCCGGGATACCCTTGACTCACATTTTCGTTCCGAAAAGCGAACCCCGGACTGCGAAAAAGGGCTGCAAGACCATCGCCCGTTCGCACAATCCTCGACAAACTGTTTTAGTCGAAACATCGAAAGGGTTGCTATTTTGAGGTGGCTCGCACTAAATATGGTCAGATAGGCGTTGGCGTTGTACCCGGGCAAGGCACCCCTGCTCAAGCACCGCTCCCGTAGTGGGGGAGATCTACCAAAGTTACTTAGACAAGTTCACCTCTATGACTCGGACAGTTGGTTCGTTGTGACCATCTCGCACCATCCTCTTACAAACCAACCGTAGACATGGTAAGTAGGTGCCGGGCACACCGCGGTCACCGTTGTGATTTTTGGATTCGGACGATCAGGAGAGAGAGAGAGAGAGAGAGAGAGAGAGAGAGAGAAAACATGCGAGAAATTTTGCTTCGTCGGAAGTTGACTTTAAAATAATAAAAAATTAAAAATAATAATAATAAAAAAAAAAGTGGAATGTCGCGAAAGAGAAACAGAATAGTTGTGACTAGTGGTGGAAGGATGCTTGACCAATCGTACGAGGGTAAATTTCGATGAAAAGAAAAGTATAATAAAAACAAGAAAACAAGAAAAAAAAACAATCAGAAATGAATTGCGTAAACTGTGTCGACGTTGTAAAATGAGTGACGAATTCGGCAGGATGCGAACCTTCATCCGGGATTATTGCGAGTTGTGTTATTAGAGTGCAGTGGTCTTCGACGTTAGATTTTTGGCTATCGGCCCACCCCGTAGTCGAATATCGCTATTTGATTTATTTTCATCAGTGTATCCTAATTCCTGACCGCGTTTATGGAATTGTTGGTAGCCTTCCGTTCCCTTAGTATCCGCGTATTACTCGACTATACTTTCTTGCCAACTTACTCGGGTAAACGGATATTTGGTTACATTAGAATTAACGTTTTTCATTGGGAACACATTTTGTAATCTAATACTTTTGCCAACCTATATATATATATA